AAGGCTTTTCCTTGCATTCCTTAGATTAAACCTTTCTATCTTCATGGAGACCAAACCAGACCAAGTTACAGGTCAGATCTGTGGAGAGGCGACCCTGCTCACAGTCAGAACCTCTGTTTTTCTAGGTATTTCTGAGCTATATGCTCACTGGTCTCTCCAAACGAGCTGTGAGACGCTGCAGAACATCCAGAACATCCAGAACATCCAGAACGCTGCAGCTCGGGTCCTGACTCGAACTAGGAAGTACGAGCACATAAGTCCTGAGCTCAGGTCTCTGCACTGGCTCCTGTGGCTCAGAGTCTTTAAAGCAGCTCTGTTTGTACAAGTGTCTCCATGGCCGAGCACCAAAGTCCATCTGTGACATGTTAGTGTCATATGAACATCTCACACTCTGAGGAGCTCAGGGACCAACTCCTGCTGGTGCCCAGAGTCACGACTAAACAAGGGGAGTCAGAGTTTCAGGTTCATGCAGCTAAAACCTGGAACAGTCTGAACATGTGAGACAGACTCTTCTGTGACGCTGTTTAAATCCAGACTCAAAACATTTCTGTTTAACTGTGCAAATAACTGAAAGGTTTTCATTCTGCACTCTTCAATTTATGTCTCTCTTTTTTAATTTTAATCTTCATGATTATTTATGTTTTGATTTGTTTTTATTATGATTTTAATGTATTTCTTATTCTGTAAAGCACTTTGAATTACTTTGTGTACGAATTGTGCTATACAAATAAACTTGCCTTGCCTTGCCTATAAAACCAAATGTAATTGAAAAATATAAAGTAGAGCTGTTTATTGTCATGCTCCACCAGAAAAGTGTCATAATGCGTCTTTATTTCAATGCGTTAGATTTCCTGGTCTTTTCTTCTATCAGTGACCATCTCCCGTCTCTCCTTCGTCTTTACTTATACTTTCAAAATGGCTGCCAGTTGTGTCCACCGATCAAACGCAATTCAATTAGAGCGGGGCACTCCGGCTAAAACCACCGCAGCCTCTCCGATCCATTAGCTTCCTGTAGCTATGCCAAGAATTTGATTTACCGCGCGGCTACGACGACAAAACTGCCTTCGACGTTTCTTATGAAAAAAAAAAAAAAAAAAAAAAAAAGATGGCTGTTGGTAGCTGCGGTTTAATACTGCAGACGGAGGGGGAAAAAGTGCATTAGCTAAAGAGGGTCCCGGGCAGGTCGCGCTGGTATAATTAATTCTAGAGGAGTAATAAAGTTAAGTGGATTGGAGCAGAGGAGGGGGGAGCAAGATGGCCGCCAGTCCGGGAACGTGAAGGTGACCCGTGACGACGCAGGAAGAGGAAGAAGAAGATGAAGATGAGAGAGACGTGGAGTTATGTAACGGACAAAATGTCTCTGAATGTTTCTGTGACGTAATGTACAAACCATGACGAAGCACAAATTTATTTCACAAAGCTCTATGATACTAAACTTATCAAGTAAGGGTGCGCAAAAAATGTTTTAATATCGTTGTATCGTATCGTTTAATGTAATGATTTGGTATCAGATTCAACAAACACTTTTAGTATCACAACCATGATTTATTTTATTTATTTTTATTGAACTGTATTGAATTGATTTGAAATATTGAAACACCGAATCGTGTCGAATTGAAAGCTCATTGTATCGAGGTATGTATTGTATCGTGGTCTATGTATCGAGGTATGTATCGTATCGTTGCCTATGTATCGAGGTATGTATCGTATCGTTGCCTATGTATCGAGGTATGTATCGTATCGTTGCCTATGTATCGAGGTATGTATCGTATCGTTGCCTATGTATCGAGGTATGTATCGTATCGTTGCCTATGTATCGAGGTATGTATCGTATCGTTGCCTATGTATCGAGGTATGTATCGTATCGTGGCCTATGTATCTATGCCTATGTATGTGAAAATGATTATCCGGAAATAATTATTCAGACTTAATTCTGAAGTTAGTGAGTGGTTTATTTCGCTCAACGGTAGGTGGGTACTTTTTTTATTTAACCAGTCGCTGCTATTTGGTCGTGACGTATGTAATGCGTCGGAACACTCAGAACCGCAAACAAAGCAGAGTGAACATGTCTGTCAGTGATCATTGTCGTTTCTGCGAGATGAACTAAAGGTGCAATAAAAAATGCAAAGTTTGTATTTAGACAAAGGACGTCCAAAGGAGGATAGTGTGTGCAGTCTGCTATCGCAACTCTGGTTCGTTCAGCTCTTCGCTGATTGGCTGGTACGGTCTACAACTTTTGGCGTTCTTGCAAACCGTCGAGTGTATTCTGATTCCTGATCTAGTCACTGGAGAGAAATGAAATTGAGGTGAGGCACAAGGTGGCACCAGGCTGTCTAATTTATTCCTCGATCATGTAAATATTTATTCTTCTTAAAAATAATTCTGGTCGTTCAGTACATGCTCGTTGTGTCGCCCTTCTTACACGATCCGGGCGATCCAGCTCCACCAGTTCTTCGGACTTTCCTCCTCGTCTCTTTGGATTTGTGAGCGGGATGTGGGAGTGGGCTGAGGTAGATCAGCCTCACTCTCAGTTTGTCTTCTTCCTCCTTCTCCGACGCTCTTCCCTTCTCCTCCTCAGCCGACAGACGTAAAGTGTGATGAGACAATTCTCCAGCTGCTGCGCAATTATCATCAGAATGACCTCAGAAAAAATTTGGATCATGTTTGTGTCTGTGGCGTAACGACAAACCGAGATGACAGAAAAGCCGGTAGCAGCTGAAGTGTGTGTTTTCTTCCGGTCGACGTAAATACGTTCGTGTCTCTGTCCAATCAGAACCCTTCCCAACGCTGAGCCCAATTAAATAAAGACAATTTAACGAGTTTTCCATGTAAACCTCAATTCAGAATTATTATTTCCATGTGAACTCAAAGGAGAATATTTTAATGATGAACAATGTAATTCAAAACAATTAATTCGGAAATAAAAAGCATCATCAGCAACATCAAAAGTAGGCGGCGGAAACGTGACACTTCACTTCAGTCTAGTCCCATCCGTTCTCCTTCACTTGTCAGCGCCGAGCCTCCATCAGCCCCCCGCAGACTTCAGACTTACATCTCTGTTTCCTCTTTATTTACGACCTCACTCCAGTCTGAAGAGGCCTGGGACAATCAGAGGAGCCCATCTGCCGCCCAATCAGAGCCCACAGCAGACGACGACAGATCCAGGAGGCCAGGAACCCGCCGCGCTCAGCCCCAAACGAGGCTCCGTCTGTGGGGCAGATTGGCAGAGCGGGCCCCCTGCTGCCGAGAGGAACAGGTGATGTCTCTTTGTACGCTTCTTTTTTTTATTTTGTTTTGTTTTTAAAAGGAAGGACAACTGATTTTGATTCTATGTGCCCAAATAAATGGATAAATTGGTGTAAAACTGTGTGGGAAGCGTGAGATTTCAGATATTTTGTCCTGGTTTGTTAATATTTCTGTAATTACTGGACCTATTCACATTTTAAATTCTATTCATGGAAAATATCTATGGAAGATAATTTGTTCCATTAGATTCAGAATTTTAAATGCCGTTCAATTTCTTAGTTTGAATTTTTTAATATGTTGGAATTATTTTTATTCTGAATGGAAGCTGATGAAATTTTAAGTGTTTAATCTTCAATATATATAAAAAAAAATCACCTTTAAACTCCCTCCTGAAGCTTTATTCTGACTGGGTGGTGCCCGGCGGGTTGAGGGAGCGGGTGTGGGCGGGCTCTGGGACAATGATTGACAGTCGACCGACAGCCACAACAATCCAACACGGCGTGGACCGGTGCGCTCCGGACTTTGAAACAGAGCGGACATTTGTGCTCGGATCACGGCGTTTTCCTTTACTCCAGACACGGCGGGACATGGCGGTGCCCGGTGGAGTGCCAGGTCGGGGCTGAGAGGGGCTCCTCACGTCCCGCCCGCAGTCGCCAGTGGCCGCGCTTGTTGCGTAATAACCTGCGTTTGACTCACTTAGTCCAATCCAAAAATTCAAATATCCAGGCCGTAGTTGATCCTAAAGAGGCCGTTACAGACACGACTTTGACCCAAAAGTCAGATTTTTAACAAATATCTTTAGCCTAATAGCATTTTTTAGTAAGCACATTGGTATTTTTTATTGATATTGTAAAGAGATGACTAAGGCAGACAGTGATTTTAGACTCTCACAAGTGTTCTGAGAGGCTGAGGACAAAGGCAGTAAGGCAGGGTGATGCAGCAGTGGTAGGAAAAAAAATTAATAAAAGAGACTTATGCAATTATGCTATTAGGCTAAAGATATGCACTGAAATGCCAAAATAAGGCCAGGGATAAACTTTTATTTTAGACACATTTACACAGATAATTAGTAGAAAACAGTGATTTTGGTGTCTAGTATTCAGCAGTAAATATTCAGCACAAATATGTTTCTTCGAGTCAAAATTCAAAGTGTAAAATTCACAGTGAAAAAAAATTTGCAGCAAAGATCCAAGACGCCAAGGCCTAAGCAATCGATCCAAAGTGATCCGATCTAACTTACGCTACATTCGATTATCTTCCGACTCCCACTTGGACTTCAGATTTGGCGTCACGTCTGAGCTTGAAGCGTATTATTATGTTTTGCGTGTCAAATTTAGGAGTAGCGTGTGGCCTCACCACAACACCGACTACCAAACCCCCAGGCAGTGATACGGACGCAGTAACATGCTGCAGTGATACGAGTGACTGAAATTGTCATTTAAACCACCAAAGTGTCCAAACACAATGAAAACGCTTCATATTTACACGTCACAATGAGTCCAGGCGTCTTGGCTTCTGACTCAGAATTCTTGCTTGGTTTACTTTTTTCCACCACTGAGGTCAAAGTCGCGCTGTCCGAGGAAAAAGTGCAAACCGATGCAGAAGGATAATCAAACGCAGGGTTAGTAACAAGCAGGAAGCGATCTGATTGGTCAGAATTATCCTCTTCCAAACCTCATCTTTTTTATTTGTTAAGTGTAAACCACAGATGAGACCGGCCAATAGGAAACATCTAGGATCGAGCTTTAAAATACCTGTGATGACGAGACACTCGTTGTGATCCAGGGCCTCGGTGAAGAGTCTGGACACGATGAGCTCCGGGTTTATCAGGAACCGGATTTCCTCTTGGACCAAACCCGAGCCGATGACGCCTCCTCCCACGAACTGATTAGCAAAATCCACCTGGAAAAGAAAAGTGACGTGAAAAGTTAGTTTGGAAACGGGACAGTAAAGTTGTTTATTAAATTATTCTTGTATGTCTGAGCAGATGTGGAGAAAATTCACCCAGGGTATTTCAGAACGTGTTTGTAAAAGTCTAAACTACAGATACAACCACATTTTTTCTATATAAGGACAGAATATTTTATTGTTTAAGAAATTCTATTATAAATAATTATTTCTAAGCACTGTTACCATAGAAATTAACAATTCAAAACAAAATCTTATCTTTTATCAGTGTAGATCGGCCCATGTACCATTCGTGTTTTTGAATTTCAATTAAGAACGAAAAACAACAAAATGGAAAAACTATTTTTAATTCATTATTCTGTTTTAATGTCAAACAAAAAAACAGATTTCGACCTCCATTTCCAAAACAGTATTTAATCAAAAAACAGTCTTGGTGCCTATTTTAATTTTGATATTTTATTCTCTCTGGTTTATTTGCGACGGGAATTTCTCACCTGAAAAATCGTTGCAGTTTTGTGGACAAACATGACCTCGTCTTTTATAACAACGCGTTTACTTTCGTGTCTTAGAAAGTTATTGCTGAACTCCTTGCTGTGATTTGAAATAAACTTTAAATTAAACATTGGAAATAAAGAAATATGGGTTTTTTTTCTGTTTTTTGTTTGGCACTAAAACAGAACAATAAATTACAAACTGTTTTCCCATTTTATTCTTTTTCATTCTTAATTGAAATTCAAAACCTCAGCTAGATCCTATCGCTTTGCCTGAAAATGTTCCACAGTATGACATTAGATCTATTTTATTGTGCATAATAAGTACAGTTTGATTAATTACCAGTGTAGATGTGTCATTTTGATTCCTAACTTGGTGCACCGATAAATGGATAATAGTTTATGTTTTATAAGCATCGAACTGTTCCATATCTAAGGCCGTGGATCTTATATTTACTCAGTTTCTTTGTGACTGCTGACATTGTTACAGCAGCTCTCTGGCATTTTTGTTTTGTAAAGGAGCTCACTGGAGAAAAAAGGCTGCAGACCCCTGATCTATTATCTGATTTTGATACTAGTTTGATACTAGTTAGAAGAGCAAGACGAAACGTGAAGCAAAAACGAGTCTTTGTGTTCCAGTGTCGGCACAAAGCAGGTCTACAGCATAGAGCGGATCTACAGAACAGACCTACTGCCACATTTGGCTGAAGTTTGTCTAACAAAAGTGCACAAATGCATCTGTGTTTGTCACGATGTGCGTTTGGTTTGGTAAACGTGCAGAGGCTGGTAAATATCACTGCAAAACCAGAAAAGAATGTAACTCCAGTTTGGAACTTTAAAAAACAGGTTTAAAAATCTTCCTTCACTTTTTTCACAGTTTTGTGTAAAGTGCCAGAGGAAGTTCTCTTAAAGAAGAGGTTCTCAAACTGTGGGTGAGGGTCCAAAAAAGGGGCACAGAGTGTTTCAGTGCAGTTTGTTTGGCTTTGTATTAGGTCGATCATTTTGACTTGGTCATTTTGTAAGTAGCTCACATGATGGAAAAGTGTGAACACCACTGATTTAACTAACTGTTTATAGAACAAACCATTCTGCACCGGAGCTCTGTAACACTTTATTTTGTAATTATGTTTTTATACGTGTTTTGTGGATGAATGAAATGTGAAATGTGAAATGTGGGACCAGCCTCTCAAATGTGCAAAGCTAATTTACCTACAGGTACGAAGAAAGCGACCAAACCAAACCTAACCAAACCTTATCACAGAAAACCATTAACCGGAAGTTCTGCAAACCTACAGCGCTGCACTTCCAGACATTTGTGGAAAAGGTCTATATTTAACATCCTACGTTAACATCTCCATGGACACAAACAGTTGATGAACTCCCTACCAGAAAATTTACGCAATGCATCTTTAAAATAACCAACATTTGCAGCTTGGACAAGTACAAATGCACTTTATCCAGACCTAAAGCGACACGGTCTGAAGTCCTCATCCATCTCAGTCGTGTTAGCGGCCGTAAGCGTTTCCGTTCTGAGGCTCTGCTGTGATGTTTTGCTCCTCGCTTCGGCGCTAAATGCTGTGTTTTTATACGGAACACTAACGTAAGAGTCACCCGCAGCCCTTTCACCTTCGCTCTGTCAAAAACCTGTCAAAATAAAACAACAACAACAACAACAAGACCCCCGGACCCCGGACCTGATCGTAAATGGCTTTCCTCTGGTGACAAATACCAGAGGAGAAATGACATTGTTCTCTGGGGATTCTCAAGAGAAACGTGGATGAAATGGACGCGATAACTGGCTCAAGTAATAAAAAAACAAAACAAAACTGAAGACTAGAGCATAGTTGGGACAAGAGAGTGACTTATAGGTGCTGAAAGTGTTGGAAAAAGGTATTTTCTACCATGTTCTGACGTCGTTCCTCATCAACAAACACGTCTGAAGAGGTTTTAGAGTCGTCCATGCATGTTTGAGTAATTTAGCAATCTCTCCTGGGCCCTATTCAAACCCTTCCTACGTTTGGCAGCAAGATTTTGTACAAAGCTCCACCCAAAAGCCTGCTTCACCCATGTTCCCGCACGACAATTCTCCATAAAAACTGTACACTACAACTTCACAAATCTGATACGATGTGCAGATCTGATGTGAGAGGCTGGTCCCACATTTCACATTTTCAACTATAACTATAAGAGTATAAGTTGCACCGGATTATAAGGCACATAAAGCGAAACAAACGGACGACACTTGAGACTGATCCTTAGTCCAGGCGTCCACGATCCATCGGCAGATCGTGGTGTAATTTCCTCCCTGTCTTGGTGAATGTGGTTTAGGAATGTGAATGTGGGTGCAGAAAGAGCCGCTGTCCTGCTGCAAGTAGTGAAATATTCAACCGAAAACTGTAATCGAGCAGCAGAAAGAAAGTTTAGGAATGAGCGAGAAACTTGTGAGGGACTGTGGGAAAGCGGGGGCGGTGAACACAGCTTCACGGTAAACGGGAGGATGCACCATGAAACTTTCCTGGACAAACACAAAGCCTGGACTTCAGTGACACCGAAACCATCCTGTCGGGATTCAGAAAGACCCGAATAATTCTAACTGGAACTGATGCTGAGTCTGACGACAGCGACACAGAAGAGGAAGCGACGCTCTGTTTACCTCATGGATCTACGGTTTATCTCAGGAGGTTGTGCAGAAGTGACACAGAGGATGAAGAATTGAATGGATTTAGTGATTTGGAGTGAGATCCTGAGTTTGGTAAACTTGTTCTGTTGTTTATGTTATAATTATCTGAATAACTGTTACGTTACCATTTTAACACCTATTCGGCCTGTTGTTCTCTGTTCTATTGTTATTACTAGAACTTGCCTTTCAAGATAAAATGTTGGTTCCTGGTCTCAGATTTTATAAAATAAATTTCCCCAAAAAGTGCGACTTATACCGTATTTTCCGCACTATCAGGCGCTCTGGATTATAAGACGCACTGTCATTAAATGGTCTATTTTCAAACTTTTATCACAAATAAACCGTGTGGGACTTTAAATGAAATCCAACAGTGTGATGGGTGAGTGGTTTTGTTTGTTTGTTCGTTCACGGTGACTCTGGGCTTTGTTCAGTTGTGGCATGTAGGGAGGGTGTGTCTGGGACCAACGGATTGTCGGCGTGTTCGCAGTGACTCAGTTGTTCAGTTAAAGCGGCACGTTGCGCTCGCTTTTTCGGTTCGTTCCTCCGTTCCGTTCCTCGTCGGCGTGGAGTGACGAGTGCGTCCTGTGGGTGTTTTTCGTTGTGCGGTCACTTTCTGCTCCGTGTGTCTTTTTTTGACCTATATCTTCCTCACAGTTCGCACAAAGTTTGTTGCAATGGCGACAAGAATCCAGGAGCAGTTCGCCGCAAAAGAAAGTCCGTTTTTGAGGTCGCTGAAAGAAGAAGACAAGGGGAAAAGCAGCGAAGCCAAACTAAGGTGATTCTTGGAAGATTCATTCCAGCGATGGCGCGACTGAAGCAGACGCAGGGTCTAAAGACTGAACCACTGGTCCACAAATTACTCCTGGACAGGTCACTTCTGCTTATTATGAAAACGTACTTTATTTCCAAGAGCTACACAAACGTTTTTCAGGACACGAAAGCGATATCCTATGTCTGAAAACGTAATTTTCAAGGCAAAGAAAGAGTCCGCTTGCTGCTGCGTGTTGTAGCTAGTTCATTCGCACTGAATCTCCGCGCAACCTTCTCTGCACCCCTTTCCTGCTCCTGTCCCTGCTGCCCGTTCCGCTCTTCTCCCCTGCTCCTCACTTCTCCGTCTTGCCTAACCAACACTGTAGTTAGTTGTTTACAAGTCATGTGCAGTTCACCGGCTGTAAACAAACCTGTTTCTGGCGTAAAGAGGAGGAGGGAGGAGGCGTTTCTACGTAGGAGCTGAAGGGGAGGGGGGGTGGTTTCACACATGCGCAACATTTGAAAAAGGACAAACAGTCGCTGGATTTCTCGTTCCTTGGAAAATCCTCTATACAACCTTTAAGAGCGCGTCTAATAGCCCGGAAAATAAGGTAATACGATGTGTCAGAATCCATTTAGTGTTTAAAAAATATCTCAATATATTCTAAATATCGAGATCTCTCCCACCTCTAACTCCAGATCTGTTTGTGATGAAGAAACAACATTAAAACAGATCAGAAAAAAGTATAATCTGGTCCTTTAAAAACAGCTCACACTGGTTTATTTCAGTTTTGCATCTGAATATTTGTCTGTCTCTCTCCTCTCTTTGCTCTTTGGGACAGTGTCGAGCCTGTGGTCCTTCTGACAGCCTGTCATCTCCTCTTCCTCCTCTCCTCCTCCTCCCCCTCCTCCTCTTCCTCCCCCTCTTCCTCTCCTCTCCTCCGTCTCCTCTGTCCATCAATCCGGCGCTAACCCTCGGGACTCGGAGCTGTCAGGGCCACAAACAAAAGGGACGGAAAAGAGCGCGAGACCTGACAGAGAGAGAAAGAGGGAGAGATAAATAGAGAAGGAGGGGGAGAGAAACGAGAAGAGGGGAGAGAGAGAAACAAAGAAGGAAAGAAAGAAAGAGACAATGAAGAAAGGAAAGAGAGAGATGGAGAAGGAGGGAGAAAGAGAGAGAGAAATAAAGAGTGGGTAACAGCAGAGGCGAATAGAAAGAAGGAAGGATGAGGGAGAGAAGAGTAAAGAGAAAGATAGAAAGAAATAAAGAGCAAGAAAGAAGGGGAACAGAGAGAAGAGAGACAAGAGAAGGAGAGATTTAAGAGAGAGAGCGAGAAGATAAGAGAGAAAAAAGAAAGTAGGGTAGAAAGACGAGAGAGGAAGCAAGGAGAGGTGAAAAAGTGGAAGAAAAAGAGAGAGTGATAGAGGAAGGGGAGGAAGGAGGAAAGAGAGATATGAGGAAAGAGAGGAAAGAGGTGAGGAGAGATACAGTTGGAGAGAAAAGAGACAAAGAGGAAGAGAGAGAAGGAGTGGGAGACAGAGGAGGGTTGGAGATAGAGAGAGAAAAGTGCAGAAACAAGAAAAAATAAGGGAGAGAGAAAGAAAAATAAATAAAGAAGGAAAGGAATAGGGAGAGGAATGATACAAATGACAGTAGATTGAGTAAGAGAAAGAGAGAAAAGAGAAAGAGAGAAGACAGAGTGGAAGAAAGAAATGTAGCGTCGTCAGGAAGGAGGAAGGTGAGGGGAGGAGGAAGAGAAGGGATAGAGAAGAGAGGGAGAGAGAAAGAAAGTAAGTGGGGGGGTTGGAGAGAAAGGAAAGAGAGAGAAAAAGAGGGCGAGGGAAGGAGAGAGGGGGAAAGAGAAGCAGAAAGAAAGAGAAAGTGGGGAAGAGAGAAAGGAAAGGAAGGAAAGAGGGGAAAGAGGACAGAGAGGGGGGAGGTGAAGTAGTGGAAATAAGTGAGGTGGAGAGGTGAAGATAAAGAGGAAGAAAGAAAGTAAGTAAGAGGTATGAAACAAATGAGAGAGAGAGAGAGAGAGAGTGAAAAAGGGAGGAAGGAAGAGAGAGAATGGAGTGAGGGGGGAGGTGAAGTAGTGGAAACAAACAGTAAAACAGGCTCAGAGGAGGAGAGGGGGAGAGAAAGAGAAGGGACAGAGGTGAAGATAGAGAGAGAGAGAGAAAGAAAGAAAGAAAGTGGGGGGTGTGAAACAAATGAGAGAGGAAGCGAGAGAGAGAAAGTGGGGATGAGAGAAAGGGAAGGATGGAGAGAGAGGATGGAGAGATGGGGGAGATGAAGTAGCGGAAATTGTGAAACAGGCTGAGAGGGGGAGAGAGGGGGAGGGAGAGAAGGAATAGAGACTAAGGTGAAGATAGACTGAGAGTGAGACAGAGAGAAAGAAAGAAAGAAAGAGGGGGGTGAGAGAGAGACAAAGACAGACAGAGAGAGAGAGAGAAGGAGGAAAAAGGGTGAGGGAAAGAAAGTAGGGAACAGAGAAAGGGAGAGAGGATAGAGAGATGGCGTAGTGTAAAATAAAGTGAAACCGGCTCAGAGGAGAGAGGGAGTGAGGAAAAGAAGGAACAGAGAAGGGAAAGATTGGAAAGTGGAGAAGAGAGAAAGGGAAGGATGGAGAGAGGACGGAGAGATGGAGTAGTGGAAATAAAGAGTGAAACGGGCTCAGAGTCGGTGACCCCGGCCTCTCGTCTGCGGTCCCAGAGCTGTGTCGGTCTGAAGGCTCCTCGCTGCCTCCTCGCTGCCTCCTCGCTGCACAGTGTGGAGTCCGAACGTGGAAACATCTCTGAGGGAATCCTAGTTCAATTTTAGCACAAAAAACTCCCAACTGACATGAACCTCTGTGATCTCAGGGCACAAAATCAACACTTTCAGAATATTCGAGCCTCAAATGCAGAAAGAACTCTACAGGATTACACAGTTTAAAGCTCACGGATTTGCACAATATTTTTTGAGGTTTATCCATTTCAAATATTATTTTATTTTGACGTTTACAAACCTGCAGCATCCCGTGTCCGTCGTCTTCAATGGTGCCTTCACATGTGACGTGGAGTCTGGTCAGCTGCTTCTGAGAACTGAAAAACAAACATAAAATCACGTAATTATTAAAGCTCACATCTGTTAGACTAGGAGTATTTTCACAGAAGGGAAGTCCTAACGGCAAATTTGAGGCAAAGTCGGTAAACCATTTTTTTACATAATTTGAGGGTGCTGATTCAGAATATTTAGTTTACCAAGCTGGATTTTGAGTTTTAAGCCTTCTAATTTGCATATTAATAATATATATATTATTTATGAGTATATTATTCATCCATCCATCCATCCATGTTCTTCCGCTTATCCTGGGCCAGGTCGGGGGGGCATCAGTCCAAGTAGGGACTCCCAGACTTCCTCCAGCTCCAGGGGAAACCCCGAGGCGTTTCCAGGCCAGACGAGAGACACAGTCCCTCCAGTGTGTCCCGGACCTCCTCCCATTGGGACATGCCTGGAACAAGAGGCATTAGAACAGATGCCCTCCCCTCAGCTGCTCCTCTCCACGTGAAGGAGCAGCGGCTCTATTCCGAGCTCCTCCCGTGTGACTGAGCTCCTCACCCTATCTCTAAGGGAGCGCCCAGCCACCCTGCGGAGAAAACTCATTTCGAGCGCTTGTATCTGATCTCGTCCTTTCGGCCATTACCCAGAGCTCATGACCATAGACAGACGGTAAAATCGAGAGCTTCGCCTTTCAGCTCAGCTCCTCTTCACCACAACGGTCCGATACAACGACCACATCACTGCCGACGCTGCACCGATCCACCTGTCAATCTCACGTTCCGTCCTCCCCTCACTCCTGAACAAGACCCCGAGATACTTGAACTCCTCCACTTGAGGCAGAGACTCTCCACCCACCCAGAGAGGACAAGACGCCTTTTTCCGGTTGAGAACTACAGCCTCATAGTTGGAAGAGCTGATCCAGCGACCCAGCCGCTTCACACTCGACTGCAAACCGCCCCAGTGTTGCAGGTCCTGGTCTGATGAAGCCAACAGGACAACATCAGACACGTGTAGAGGTCCAGTGTTCCACGGCCAGGACAAAAACCACGCTGCTGCTCCTGGATCCGAGGTTTGACTATTGGCCAGGTTCTCCTCTCCAGTCCCTGGAATAGACGTTACCGAGGAGGCTGAGAAGTGCGATTCCCCTGGAGTTGGAACACACCCTCCGGTCCCCCTTCTTATACAGAGGGATGACAATGGGGACAATGACTCGAGACTCAACTTGGACTTGCCTGTCTTTGACTTAGGACTGGATTCGGACTTGAGGTCAAAGACTTGAGACTTACTTGAGACTCGCAAAACAACGACCTGGTCTCACTCGTCGCTTAGAGCTTCCCCCACGACCCGACCCCGGATAAACAGAAGAACATGGATGAAAACCACAAATACTGAAGATTCATCACATCAAAGAAAGTTGGTTTGGATTAATTACAAATTTTTAGTTTTTAGTTTTACCATTTGGCAAAGTGACTGGATAATTATCTAGAGAACCAAAACACAAAACGGAAACTTTTACTTTTTTAATGTGGTTCAGCTTCCTGTTATAGGCAACATTTCGAGGACTTTTCACCATTCAAAAGTTTTAAATTGTTAGTTGCTATGACGACGCACTTAATTTTTCATCATTCTGAAACCCAAAGATATGAATAAATCAACATTCGAACATGTAACTTCATATTTAAGGCAACTGTTAATGTCGGTAAAATATGGAAGAAAAATAAACGTGTTAGCTCGTTAGCGTGTTAGCATGTTAGCTCGTTAGCGTGTTAGCCTGTTAGCTTTAGCCACACTGTACCTTCTCCAGTGGACCGGATTCTCCAAACGTCTCCGTGTGAACGTTACGAGTCCATTTGGCACTGAAATCGTAATTAAATGTCAAATGAGAGACTTTTTAAAACATATTTACAAACGTTACTGATTTCAAAATGGCCGCCTCACTCACTCTGTTCTGTCACGGTTTTGAAGTAACACATCAGAGTCTTCAGTTTCTCGATCTTTCTGGACGACGAACCCTCAAACAACCTGAAAACACAAAATAAGAACATTTAAATTCAATCAGGATGCACTTTATTGTCTGTAGAAAACAAAGGAAACCCACCCAGACACAGGAAGAACACGCACACTCCACACAGAAAGACCCGGGAGTCAAACCCATCTTGTTTTTTTTGTCGTAACAGTTCTTACCCATTTATAGGAAGTCTTTTTGAGTCCATATACGAGGACAATAGTGAGGTTATTTAAAACTATTAAACTATATATTTTATTGTTATTACTTCAGGATATTTTATTTGGGAGTTGAGTGTTTTTATCTTCATTTTCGTTGTGTTTATTGGTCTGAAACTGGTCTTGCATCTCCACAAACCTGACTCCTATTTGGCCTGCACAAAGGCCTCATCTTAAAGGGCGAATTATAGTTCAAAGCGCACCGCCGCCGTCACCTTGTCGCCGTCGTTTTTGATTAATAGAACTGCGTCGAGGTCTGTGCGCCATGAAGTAATTCACCGCCAAAACGCTAATGGGCTAGAATATATCTCCATTCATATAAAAGGTCTAAACGTACGACCTGCAGACGTATAATCTCTGAAAAGTTTAACATTCAACAGTCGTGTCCTTTAGTCCAGGGGTGTCCAAACTTTTTTCATCAAGGGCCACATATGTAAACACAGATGAAGCAGAGGGCCATAAACTGATGCTCAATACAGAGAATAATTGAAATATGTGCATGTTTAACACGTTAGAATGAGCCATCAGTCTTTATTCATGCTAAAATCCTTAAAACCACACACTAAATATTAAATATTAATTTTGTCATAGTAGATTTTCAACAAACCTGCAGTAAAAAGTTCATTTTTAATTGATGCAAGGTCATTTGGGTCAATTCACCTGGAAGCCTGAGGGCCAAGAAAAAATGTGTCTGAGGGCCGCATTTTGACCCACGGGCCGTAGTTTGGACATGCCTGCTTTAGTCCGACAGAGGCTGAACTGCATCAGGGCACAAGGAGCGAGCTGTTTTTTTTCACACTAAGGCTACATTCAGACTGCAGGGCTTAACACTCACTTCAGATTTTTTTGTGAAATCCGATGTTTTTGCGAGGTCGTTCACATTTCCAATTAAATGTGACTTGTATGTGACTCCAGTGTGAACATTAAACGGCCCAAAAGTGTCCCACATGTGACACTGGAGACACGACGACGTCAACCGCAGCGAGCGTCTCTGTGTTTACAGAAGTTGTCCAAACATGGACGCAGCATCGAGCACCTGGAGATTTTAAAGTTCCTCTCGTATCGGAGCCAGAACATGAACAACTTACTTGTTTTAAGGAGGAGATTGAGAAGGAGAAGGACGAGGTTTTTGGTCGTGGTGTTTTGTGGGGCAGCGGCAGCGACGTCCGTTGAAAGGAACGTGTGGATGTGGAGACGGAGCCAAGAGTGGTGAGTGGTGATGTGCTTCGCTTCAGTCACACAGAGTTCATTAACAATTTTCGCCTACTTCAGTGCAGAATAGTGACATTTGTGTCTTGTTGATATCGTGAAGGTGGATGAATGCACTTTGGCCGTTCAGACTGAAGTCACATGTCAAAAGATCAGATATGTGTCGGTTTCAGGAGCACATATCCAAGTGTCCTGGGTCACATTTGAAAAAATCGGATCTGTGTCGTTTAGACTGTCATTAAAAGATCAGATATAGGAACATAGAGGCCAAAAAATTGGATTTGGTTCACTTCAGGCTGCAGTCTGAACGCAGCCTTAGTTTATGCAAATGAGCCATGAGGTTTTAAGATTAGTTTCAGTGAGACTTGCACAAAGCTGCATTAAACACATTATAATGTGTTAATAACGGGCTGATGTGGCTCTAGAGTGATTATGGTTTATATGTTGTAAAGTTGAGTTTATTTATGCAGATTAGTAGTAATAATAATGATGATCATTTTAATATAAAAACATTAATGATGAATTGATAATCAATCGTTAATTCTTCCAACGATCGATTAATGAAATTTCATCGACTGTCCATCCCTAATGCAAACTCCACATAACATCCCTCTTTATGATTGCTCGCTTTTCTAAACGTTATACAGTTAATTTTCGATTTTTATATCGGGAAAATAAATAAACTTAAATTACAAAGCCGCCCTCCTGCTTCCTCGCACTAAACTCTGAAAGTGTGGTCCCATGTGAGTTCAGTGAAGCTTTAACTTTTGATCCAGATTAGTTCAGCTCTCACTCACTCCCATTCGCTCCATTATGACGGGACTTTTCTATGGCGCGTTCGGCCCCGGGCGATCATCCATCTACAGTTTAATACGTGCACCACTTCACGGCACTCGGACAAAGAGCGACAAAAATGAAGAGGAAGACGAGAAGAAGAAGAGGAAGAAGAGGAAGAAGAGGAGGAGGAGAGAAGGGCACTAAGGAAACCACCATTTTGAGTAAGTGGTCCTCGGGGGGCACAGAGCGACCTCTATGGAACGCAAATAAATAGAAAAATCTACTTAGAAATGTAAGTGAAAACAAGCTGGGTGAGTTTTTATGTGCATGAAAATAAAGTGGTAAGACATTTGCAAACCTTGGTATTGTTATTTTACACTAAAACGTACACTTATATGTATTAAAAAACATTATTAAGCACAAAGAAATTACCGTATTTTCTGCACTATTAAGCGCTCTGGATTATAAAGCGCTCCGTCATTAAATGGTCTATTTTCAAATTTTTTCCACAAATAAACAGCGTGGGACATTAAAGGAAACACAACAGTGTGATGGGTGAGTGGTTTTGTTTGTTTGTGGTGTTCACGGTGACTCTGGGCTTTGTTCAGTTGTGGCGTGTAGGGAGGCACGTTGCACTCGCTTTTTCGGTTCGTTCCTCCGTTCCGCTCCTCGTCGGCGTGGAGTGATGAGTGTGTCTGTGGGTGTGTTTCGCTGTGCGGTCGCTGTCTGCTCCGTGTGTGTTTGTGTGTTATACTAGACGCGCTCTTAAGCCTCTAACCCCATCAAAAAACAACTGCGCCCCGCAATCCAGAGCGCCCCATACACGAATCCACTCGGGTGTCCCAACACGACTTCAGTAAACTACAAAGCCGCACCACCAACAGAACACACAAATGAAAAACACCCACAGACACACTCATCACTCCACGCCGACGAGGAACAGAACGGACGTTTACGTGACTTATGTGACTGCGATGCCGGACTTTTACACTGCATACGGACTGAACCAGGACTGATTCAGGTCCGGGACCACACCGAGACCAGACTGGGATCAGACCGGGACCAGACTGAGACCGGGACTAAGACCGGGACTAAGACCGGGACTGAGAGCGGGACTGAGACCGAGACCAGACCGGGACCAGACCGGAGGCTCAGAGCCCACAGCAGGGCCGGAGCTCAAAGCTGAGGCTTGGACCCCGCCGAGGCTCGGAGTCAAAGCTCGGAGTCTGCCTTGGTCCCACTCCGGTCTCAGTCCCGGTCTGGTCCTGGTCTCAGTCCCGCTCTGGCCCCGGTCTGGTCTCGGACCTGGATCAGTCCTGGTTCAGTCCGTATGCAGTGCCAAAGTCCGGCATCGCAGTCATGGAAGTCACGTAAACAGAAAATGACAGTTATCCGTTTTTTTCCATTTGTCATTTAAACAGAAAATCGAAAAATGAAAAAAATGAATCGTTATCTGTTTTTTTTTTTTTCATTTTGGTTTTTGGAGACAAATAATGAAGAATATATATATTATATATATATATATATATATATATATATATATATATATATATATATATATATATATATATATATATATATATATATATACACACACACACACATAAATATATATATACATATTTTTTTCGTTTTCTTATTGATTTTTTGTTTTATTTTGAAAAACAAATTAACAAAAAATGATATACAGATTCACACTGTATCTTCAATCAGAACTTTTAATATTCCTGCAGTTGTAAATATATTTAAAGTTTCTCCTGCACTTCCTGTTCACATGTTTCATACTTTTCCTCTGGTCGGGTGTAACTCACACAAACCCCTCTGTGTCTGTACATGTGACACAGTAAAGTGAGGGACGCTGCGTGGCTCCGGGGCATCTGGCTCTTTCATTTGGATTCTTTTACAGGACAAAGCTCGGATCTTCCCCCGAGGCCCTGAGTGTTTAAGTGGACACTGCAGAGACGGACTCAAAACCAACTAACGTCAACGGAGAAAGAGACCGATCCCCGGGCTTATATAAGAGCGCAGAGAGGAAGTACTGAGACCGAGTGATGTAAGAGCCCAAAGGTTAAGGTACTGGTACTGGTACTTAAGAGTCACTGAAGAAAATTACAGGATTATTTTGAAATTTAAAATGGGAAACTTTTAAATATTTACTTTACCTATATTACTTTGAGTTTTAAACCATGATCTAATTTTGTTTCCTCATCAAAAACAGAGCTGGAGACTTTATTTAGTAGAAATTGGCAATTCCAGAGCTGAAATGATCCAAATGATTCTAGTGAACGTGTGTGGAGTTTAAAAACACAGTGGAGCACTTCCTGTATTACCACATGACATCACAAGGTGGAACAGAGTGTTTTCTGTTTTTCTGTTCTAAAGTCAAAATCTGCAGGGTTTGTGTGTTGAACATGTGAATGAAACAAAACAAAACACAACTTCAGGTCTATTTGTGATGAGGAAACTACATTATAATCAGGGGTGTGCAAAAATATCAAAATATCGTTATATCATATCGTTTAATGTGAGGGTAGAGTATCGATATCATGCTGTATCAATAAATCGCCAAGAGTATTTTTTGGTTTATTTTGTCCTGAGAACAACCAGGAGGTGCTGGTCTGCAGAGCCCAGACCTCTGGACGGGACATGGGGCTGAAGGAGTTCAAATACATAGGAAGGTGCCAGGACATTAAGACTACGTTCAGAAGTGACCCAAATCCAATTTTTTGGCCCCTATGTGACCTGCATCTGATCTTTTAATGACACAGATCCGATTTTTTCAAATGTGACCCAGGACACTTGGATATGTGCTCCTAAAACCGATACATATCTGATCTTTTGACATGTGACTTCAGTGTGAACGGCCAAAGTGCATTCATCCACCTACACGTTATCAACAAGACACAAACGTCACTATTCTGCGCTGAAGTAGGAGAAAATTGTTAATAAACTCCATGACACTGAAGTGAAGCACATCACCACTCACCACTCTTGGCTCCGTCTCCACATCCACATGTTCCTTTCGATGGACGTCGCTGCCGCTGTCCCACAAAACACCACGACCAAAAACCTCGTCCTTCTCCTTCTCAATCTCCTCCTTAAAACAAGTAAGTTGTTCATGTTCTGGTTCCGGTACCAGAGGAACTTTAAAATCTCCAGGTGCTCGATGCTGCGTCCATGTTTGGACAACTTCTGTAAACACAGAGACGCTCACTGCGGTTGACGTCGTCGTGTCTCCAGTGTCACATGTGGGACACTTTTGGGCCGTTTAATGTTCACACTGGAGTCACATACAAGTCACATTTAATTGGAAATGTGAACGACCTCGCAAAAACATCGGATTTCACAAAAAAATCTGAATTGAGTGTTAAGCCCTGCAGTCTGAACGTAGCCTAAGACTCTTAAAAACAATCATTATAGTTTTAAATTGGATTCTAAACTGTACAGGGAGCCAATGCAGGGATTTAAGAACAGGAGTGATGTGGTCCCTCCGCTTCGTAAAGAGGATACATTTCTATTTTAAACCAATTTACACAGCTAATCAATAGAAAAAAAGTGATTTTGGCATTAAGTGGCTCTTTAAATTCCCCTGGACACCACATTTCTTTATCCTTCTCAGAGACACTAAAGTAATGCAGTATGGGTCGTCGGAGCTGTGTGTACTCGGGCCTATCGCTCTGGCATCTCTGTAACGACTCAAACGGAGCAGAATCAGATTAAGGACGATTTAAAGATGGCCGCAGTGACAGGGACAAGGCCAAAGACATCTGTCCACATCAGAGTTTCATTCACAACAAACAGAACCCAGAGCGCAGGAAGGAAGCTTCTGGAAACACCATAGATAAAGCTGAGTTATTGATGTCCACCATAATACACGCACCGTATAAATTATTATATTGTGTTCTATTTTTGAAGACGTCGACATAATTTACGCCAGAAACACATTTTTTCTTCTACTTTAAACATGATTTAAACAAAATAAAGGCGTTTTCTTACATTTTTATTTGTCAAATCATAATGGCCACGTTTACATGATGTTTTTCACTTCAGAGTTAATAGTTCTGATTTATTCTCCTTCGAATTTACATGGAGACAATAAATCCGAATTGAAGTTTACATGGAAAACACGTTAAATCGTCTTTATTTAATTCCACTCAGCGTCTGGAGGTGGGGAAGGTTCTGATTGGACAGAGACACAAATGTATTTACGTCGACCGGAAGAAAACAAACACTTCAGCTGCTCCCGGCTTTTCTGTCGTCTCGGTTTGTCGTTACTCCACGGACACAAACACGATCCAAACTTTTTCCGCAGTCGTTCCAATAATAATTGCGAAGCAGCTGGAGAATTCTCTCATCACACTTTACGTCTGTCGGCTGAGGAGGAGAAGGGAAGAGCGTCGGAGAAGGAGGAAGAAGACAAACTGAGCGTGAGGCTGATCTACCTCAGCCCACATCCCGCTCACAAATCCAAAGAGACGTGGAGGAAAGTCCGAAGCCACGACTGGTGGAGCCGGATCGAAGGGCGACACAACGAGCATGAACAACCGACATTATTTTTAAGAAGAATAAACTTTTACATGATTGAGAAATAAATTAATTTGGCTTTAAAATCAGAATAAACCACCCACTTACTTCTAAATTAAAGGTTGTATGGAGGATTTTGTTTTTGTTTTTTTTGTTTCAAGTTGTCAGTGATAGATTATAAAGATGCAGTAGCCTTGTAATTATGATGACCAAAAAAAAGAGAATAAAAATTCATCAACTCTGGACGTGGTGGGGCTAAACATTTGCCAATAGATAACGACACTGCCTCGTTATCTGTGAGCTGACAGGCTGTCAATCAATCTCCCTACGTTTCTAGTGTAACTGACTTGCCTGCGCCGCCGGTACGTGGTTTACGTACGACTGTCACACAGTCCACAGACGCAAGACGCACAGACGCTGTTTACTCCACCAACGCAACAGTTCTTAGCGGCTTTTTTTTACCTATATCTTCCTCACAGTTCGCACAAAGTTTGTTGCAATGGCGACAAGAATCCAGGAGCAGTTCGCCGCAAAAGAAAGTCAGTTTTTGAGGTCGCTGAAAGAAGAAGACAAGGGGAAAAGCAGCGAAGCCAAACTAAGGTGATTCTTGAAGATTCATTCCAGCGATGGCGCAACTGAAGCAGACGCAGGGTCTAAAGACTGACTCACTGGTCCACAAATTACTCCTGGACAGGAAACTTCTGCTTATTATGAAAACGTACTTTATTTCCAAGAGCGAGACAAACGTTTTTCAGGACACGAAAGCGATATCCTATGTCTGAAAACGTAATTTTCAAGGCAAAGAAAGAGTCCGCTTGCTGCTGCGTGTTGTAGCTAGTTCATTCGCACTGAATCTCCGCGCACTCTTCTCTGCACCCCTTTCCTGCTCCTCTCCCCGCTGCCCGTTCCGCTCTTCCCCCTGCTCCTCACTTCTCCGGGCACGGAATCTCCGCGCACTACTCCCCTCTCCTCTCTCTTCTCCCTGCTCCGCTCTTCTCCCTGCTCCTCACTTCTCGTCCGCGAACGAAATGTCCGCACCGCACACCCGCTCCCCCCGTTCCTCACTTCTCCGCCTTGCCTAACCAACACTGTAGTTAGTTGTTTACAAGTCATGTGCAGCACCGGCTGTAAACAAACCTGTTTCTGGCGTAAAGAGGAGGCGGAAGAAGGCGTTTTTACGCAGGGAGCTGTAGGGGAGGGGAGGTGGTTTCACGCATGCACAACATTTGAAAAAGGACAAACAGTCGATGGATTTCTCGTTCCTTGGAAAATCCTCTATACAACCTTTAAGTTTAATTTTTAATAATCATTTTCAATAGGAATTAAGTGTTTAAATGGTCTTTTTAAAGAGGAATTAATTTTTATTCAGAATTTAATTAATTAATTTTTATTAAATCAAAACAGTAAGATCAGATCAGAGGGAGACAATTAGGTAATTTTTTTTTTCATCTTCAAGTATCTCAGGCCTTGTCAACACTAGTTCGTATTTGAGTCGTTTTCGTTGTGGGTGCAGTGTTCGTTCACACTAATCCGACTGAAAACAGCTCCAGAGACGGAACGATCTGGTGCCTCCAGCTCCACGAGTTCATCTGAGTACAGTGTGGACGCCTGAAAACGCTGATACTCTGATGTAGGTCAATGCACCGCGAAGTAATTCACCGCCAAAACACTAAGAGGCTAGAATATCTGTCCATTCATATAAACGTGTGTCTGTGTGTTCAACCTGCAGACGTTTAATCTCTGAAAAGTTTAACATGAACCATCTCCAACACGACAGAAACACAGAACAGACTCACCATCAGCAGAACACCCCTCTGTCACAGAAACAACACTCATATTCCACTGAGTCACTGTGTCCTTTAGTCTGACAGAAACTGAACCACATCAGCGACACAATAACGAGCTGTTTTTTTTGAGCGCTCAGTTTATGCAAATTAGTCATGCAGTTTTAAGTTTTGTTTCTGTAAAATGTAAACAAATGTGCTCAAAGCTGTGTGGACAGAGAAGGATTACGGACACAGAAACGACGTGTCTGGACGCAGATCGTTTCTGATATGGTGATACACGGATTCGTTTCAGTGTAAACGGTGTCTTAATCGACCAGTAGAGTTTTAAAACAGCTTTCCTTCCGTATGTCGTGGTCTGGAGCGAGTGTTGTACCTGTAGAAGTTGATGTTGGGGTAGTTGTAGTATTCTGTTTTCCTGGAGTTTCTTCGGGGAAATGTGCAGAAAAAAGCGTTTGAAAGAAGACAAGAAATCTGCTCCTGCGACAGAGAGATGGAGTGATTCATCCCTCGCTTCAGAAGAGGAAGAGGCTGTGGAGGAGAAGACGAGGGCTGGGTTAGACCTGGGAAAGTCATGATTTAGTCTTTAGACCTATTTTACACCTGGACTAGACCCGGCTTAGTGCTGGTTTAGTGCTGGTTTAGTCCTGGTTTAGTCCTGGTTTAGTCCTGGGTTGGTCCTGGGTTGGTCCTGAAATAGTCTTTAGAACTAATATAGACCTGGTTTAGAACTTGTTCAGATCTGGGAGACCTAGGGTAGTCTTCATTTAGTCCTGGTTTAGTCTTTAGACCTATTTTAGAACCTGGTTTAGAATTTGTTCAGACCTGGCGTACTCCCGAGTTAGTCCTGGTTTAGAGGATTGGTCCTTGTGTAGATACCGGGTCAGTTTTCTTTAGTTCCGGTTAGGTTCTGGTTTAGAAATACTTAAGACCAGGTTTAGTCCTGGTTTAGTCCTGGTTTAGTCCTGGTTTAGTCCTGGTTTAGTCCTGGTCTTGTTTTTTTTGTACAACACCATGATGGGGAGCCAAACTCCAGCATGGGTTTGAGTAAATCTGAGCTATTCTCGTCCAGGTTTAGTCCAGGTTTAAACCCAGTTTTGGTCCTGGTTTGGTATTTGTTTAGACCTGGTTTAGTCCTAATGTAGTCTTAGTTTGAGAACTGATTTGGACCTGGTTTCAACCTGGTTTCTACATGGTTTAAAACTTATCCAGACATGGTGTAGACCTGGTTTAGTCCTGGTTTGGTTATAGTCTTGGTCCTGGTTTAGTCCTAATTTTGTCCAAGTTTTAAGACCTGGTTAAGACCTGGTTAAGAACTTGTTCAGACCTGGTTTAGTCTGAGTTTAAACCAGATTCTAGCCAGTTTTGGACTTGGTTAAGGCCTAACTTTTTCAGATCTGGTGTAGACCTACTTTAGTCCTGGTTTAGTCCTGGTTCAGTCCTGGTTTAGTTGTAATGTAGTCCTAGTTAAGATTTGGTTTAGTCCCAGTTTATTCCTGGTTTAGACCTGGTTTAGACATAGTTGTAGACCTGGTTTAGTCCTGATTTGGTTATAGTTTAGTCCTAATGGAGTCCTAGTCTGAGATCTGGTTTAGTCCTGGTTTAGTTCTGGTCTTGGTTTTTTGTACAAGACCATTACAGAGAGCCCAGGTTTGAGTAGACGTGAGCTATTCTCGTTAACAGGTGATGAAGTCCGTGAGCTAATCTGGATCCTCTCGAGTTGGCGGTGATTACGTGAAGGACTCATCCAGACCTCGGAGAAACTGGAGGTCACTGCAGACGCTCTCAAATATAAACAAACACAGTCACAAACCCGGGGCTGCAAAGTTTAGTCCTGATGTAGACCTGGTTTGGTTCTGTTCTAGTCCTGGTTCAGTTCTGTGGATACAGTCTAGTCCCGATTATTAACCAGATGTAAAGGTCTTTTTTTAGTCCTAATGAAACCCTGGTTATAGCAGTAGTAGTAATAGTAGAAGTAGAAGTAAGAGTTGTAGTAATAGTAGTAATAGTAGTAGTAGTAGTAGTAGTAGTAGTAGTAGTAGTAGTAGTAGTAGTAGTAGTAGTAGTAAGTAGTAGTAGCAGTAGTAGTAGTAGTAGTAGTAGTAGTAGTAGTAGTAGTAGTAGTAGTAGTAGTAGTAGTAGTAGTAGTAGTAGTAGTAGTAGTAGTAGTAGTAGTAGTAGTAGTAGTAGTAGTAGTAGTAGTAGTAGTAGTAGTAGTAGTAGTAGTAGTAGTAGTAGTAGTAGTAGTAGTAGTAGTAGTAGTAGTAGTAGTAGTAGTAGTAGTAGTAGTAGTAGTAGTAGTAGTAGTAGTAGTAGTAGTAGTAGTAGTAGTAGTAGTAGTAGTAGTAGTAGTAGTAGTAGTAGTAGTAGTAGTAGTAGTAGTAGTAGTATAGTAGTAGTAGTATAGTAGCAGTAGTAGTAGTAAGTAAGTAGTAGTAGCAGTAGTAGTAGTAGTAGTAGTAGTAGTAGTAAGTAGTAGTAGTAGTAGTAGTAGTAGTAGTAGTAGTAGTAGTAGTAGCAGTAGTAGTAGTAGTAGTAGTAGTAGTAGTAGTAGTAGTAGTAGTAGTAGTAGTAGTAGTAGTAGTAGTAGTAGTAGTAGTAGTAGTAGTAGTAGTAGTAGTAGTAGTAGTAGTAGTAGTAGTAGTAGTAGTAGTAGTAGTAGTAGTAGTAGTAGTAGTAGTAGTAGTAAGTAGTAGTAGTAGTAGTAGTAGTAGTAGTAGTAGTAGTAGTAGTAGTAGTAGTAGTAGTAGTAGTAGTAGTAGTAGTAGTAGTAGTAGTAGTAGTAGTAGTAGTAGTAGTAGTAGTAGTAGTAGTAGTAGTAGTAGTAGTAGCTAGTAGTAGTAGTAGTATAGTAGTAGTAGTAGTAGTAGTAGTAGTAGTAGTAGTAGTAGTAGTAGTAGTAGTAGTAGTAGTAGTAGTAGTAGTAGTAGTAGTAGTAGTAGTAGTAGTAGTAGTAGTAGTAGTAGTAGTAGTAGTAGTAGTAGTAGTAGTAGTAGTAAGTAGTAGTAGTAGTAGTAGTAGTAGTAGCAGCAGTAGTAGTAGTAGTAGTAGTAGTAGTAGTAGTAGTAGTAGTAGTAGTAGTAGTAGTAGTAGTAGTAGTAGTAGTAGTAGTAGTAGTAGTAGTAGTAGTAGTAGTAGTAGTAGTAGTAGTAGTAGTTTGATATAAACATTTTCAACCTTGCATTTACTTAATTACTACTTTTTTTTTTAAATAATAAATGAATAAATCAATAAAACTTGCATTCTAACAAAGAGCACAGGCGCCTCTCCACAGATCTAACCTGTAACTTGGCCTGGCGTCTGACAGTGGAGCTTTCAGTATAAATGTATTTCTCTGCTGTGTCTTATTCCAAAAAAAACAACAAAAAACTAAACAAAACTGTCCTGACGTATGAAGTGTCTGTGGTGAAAACCATAAATCAGTTGAGGTTAAGTGGCTGCGATTGAAGCACAGAAACAGAAACATAAAACTCAGAGTCTCTGCTCAAGACTGACCCTGACCCCAGAGAAAAAGAGAAAAAGAGACAGATTTACAGATGAGAGTAAGAGGAGGGAAGGAGGGGGGGTAAATGGAGAGAGAGAGGAGAAAGAGAGGATGAGGGGGGGGGAAAGAAGGTAAGAGATAAGACAAAGAAGGGAGAGAAAAAGAGAGGGAGAGGGTAAACAAGTGACCTAGGTGGAGGAGAGATGAGAGAGAGAGGGAGAGAAACAGAGAGATGAGAGGGAAGAGAGGAGAAAGGGAGCAGAAGGGGGAGAAAAGGAGGACAGGTACAGAGGAGAGAGAAGGAGAGAGGGAGAAAGAGGAGAGAGGGAAAGCGGGGAGAGAAAGAGAGAGAAAAGAACGAAGAAGGAGAGAGAGGGAGAGAAGGAGAAGAGGAGAGAGAGGGAGAGAAGGAGAAGAGGAGAGAGAGGGAGGGAGGGAGAAGAGGAGAGGGAGGGAGAGAGGGTGAAAGGAGGAGAAAGAAGAGAGGGTGGAGAGAGAGGGAGAAAGACAAAGAGAGAAGAGAGCGGAAAAGAAATTAGGTAGTAGTAGGAGTAGAAGTAGTAGTAGTAGTACTAGTAGTAGTACTAGAAGTAGTACTAGTAGTAGTACTAGTAGTAGTAGTAGTAGTAGTAGTAGTAGTACTAGTAGTAGTAGTAGTAGTAGTACTAGTAGTAATAGTAGTAGTAATAGTAGTAGTAGTAGTAGTAGTAGTAGTAGTAGTAGTAGTAGTAGTACTAGAAGTAGTAGTAGTAGTAGTAGTAGTAGTAGTAGTAGTAGTAGTAGTAGTAGCAGCAGTAGTCATAGTAGTAGTAGTAGCAGTAGCAGTAACAGTAGTAGTTGTAGGAGTTGTGGTATTGTAGTATTTGTAGTAGTAGTAGTTTTTGTAGTATTTGTAGTAGTAGTAGTATTTGTAGTTTTTGTAGTATTTGTAGCATTTGTAGTATTGTAGTTTTTGTAGTATTTGTAGTATTTGTAGTAGTAGTAGTAGTATTTGTAGTTTTTGTAGTATTTGTAGTATTTGTAGTAGTAGTAGTATTTGTAGTTTTTGTAGTATTTGTAGTAGTAGTAGTATTTGTAGTTTTTGTAGTATTTGTAGTATTTGTAGTTTTGTAGTATTTGTAGTTTTTGTAGTATTTGTAGTATTTGTAGTATTTGTAGTATTTGTAGTAGTAGTAGTATTTGTAGTTTTTGTAGTAATAGTAGTATTTGTAGTATTTGTAGTATTTGTAGTAGTTTTTGTAGTATTTGTAGTATTTGTAGTAGTTTTTGTAGTATTTGTAGTATTTGTAGTAGTAGTAGTATTTGTAGTATTCGTAGTAGTAGTAGTATTTGTAGTATTTGTAGTATTTGTAGTTTTTGTAGTTTTTGTAGTAGTAGTAGTATTTGTAGTTTTTGTAGTATTTGTAGTATTTGTAGTTTTTGTAGTAGTAGTTGTAGTATTTGTAGTATTGTAGTATTTGTAATATTTGTAATATTTGTAGTTTTTGTAGTATTGTAGTATTTGTAGTTGTATTTGTAGTAGTAGTAGTATTTGTAGTATTTGTAGTATTTGTAGTATTTGTAGTATTTGTAGTATTTGTAGTTTTTGTAGTATTTGTAGTATTTGTAGTAGTAGTAGTATTTGTAGTTTTTGTAGTATTTGTAGTTTTGTAGTAGTAGTAGTAGTAGTATTTGTAGTATTTGTAGTATTTTGTAGTAGTATTTGTAGTTTTTGTAGTATTTGTAGTATTTGTAGTATTTGTAGTATTTGTAGTATTTGTAGTTTTTGTAGTATTTGTAGTAGTAGTAGTATTTGTAGTTTTTGTAGTATTTGTAGTATTTGTAGTTTTTGTAGTAGTAGTAGTATTTGTAGTTTTTGTAGTATTTGTAGTATTTGTAGTATTTGTAGTATTTGTAGTATTTGTAGTATTTGTAGTATTTGTAGTAGTAGTAGTAGTATTTGTAGTATTTGTAGTAGTAGTAGTATTTGTAGTATTTGTAGTAGTAGTAGTTTGTAGTTTTGTAGTATTTGTAGTATTTGTAGTATTTGTAGTATTTGTAGTATTTGTAGTATTTGTAGTAGTAGTAGTAGTATTTGTAGTATTTGTAGTATTTGTAGTATTTGTAGTATTTGTTAGTAGTAGTTTTGTAGTATTTGTAGTTTTTGTAGTATTTGTAGTTTTTGTAGTATTTGTAGTATTTGTAGTATTTGTAGTATTTGTAGTATTTGTAGTAGTAGTAGTATTTGTAGTATTTGGTACCTTGGTGATGAGCTGTGGAGTCTTCATCACTAACTGGACCATCTCTGGCAGCACCGACTCAAACAGATGTTCAGCCGAGTCCGGGTCCAGGACCTGAGACCAACAGCTGGAGTTTAACGTTTGATTTTCTCCATAAATTAAAATTCAGAAATGTTTAATTTGGCTCAAGAGGCAGATGTGAGTTTACAATTTTACACATCAAATTCTGAGATCGTCAAACTTTACAAGACACAATGAATTAAAAAAATAAATAATAATAAAATAATTTGACACAGAAACAAACAAAAAAATAGATGCCAGTGCAATTTGAATTCATGTATTAAATATTTTTAGTTTTTCTCTTTAAATTAAAATTCAGAAAATCATTTGTGTTTAAATTGAAAGGCAGATGTGAGTTTACAATCATCAAACTTTAAAAGAGACACATAAAAAAAAATAATAAAAATAAATGACAACGGATCAACATGTTTCAGCAAATAAAATTTCTGAAGATTTTATACTAAAAATTGAAAAATTACTGTCATTTTGCTCTGGGTTTCAGATGACATCACAACATTCACAGCAGGTCAATAATATTTAATACAGATGGAGGAAGAGAAAATGAATATTGTTAAAATGCAGATTTCAGTCGTAATACAGAGAGTTTGGTCTTGGGTCTGTTGGTGTTGTCACGGTACTAAAATTTCAAACTCGATTTCAAAACTAGGAATAGACTCTTCACATTTACATCACAAAACCGGAGGACGTTTGGAAACATGTGGATGACGACTTTTTTTGGGCTCCGTCGGCGAAAATAACTGACAAAATCTGGGAAAACTGAGAAAATGGCGCAGTTCTCTTCATTTACATGTCATTGTATTTTTTTCTTTTTTCCTTTTATAAACTGCCAATTAATTTGTGTATTTTAATTTGTCTAACTTAATTTAAAAAAACAACAGTTCTAACCAGCTGCTAGTAAATGACATAGAAGACACACGTAGAGTCCCGTGTCGTGAAGATGCTGCTGCTGAATCCACGGTTTTATCACACCGGAAGTCGTCATCGGCATGTTTCCAAACGTCCAGACGGTAAGTGTGAATACAGCATATACTGATCCAATAGGCGAGTTTCAGCTGACGTCATTGTTATTAAAAGCCCGCGTTGCTGCTGGGAAATATTTTGGTCGGAGGCAAGAAACACGATAGCGTCAAAAACAGTGCGTAACCTCGCGTATTTATCCCCGATAATGGTAAATTCCTGCTGCATTATCGAAAGCACAAATAGAAGCACGGAAGAAGGAAAATGTCTTTTTCGTATTCTGAGTGAAAAGAACCGCTAACGGTGAATTAAACGGCTTTCAAACATCCGCAGAGCAAACGTAGAAGATCCTAACAAACCGTGGACTCCAACAAGTTCAACAACACATCGAGACTCTTGGAGGTTTTCATCTTTTCTGCTGTGAATGACCCAGGAGTTTCCACCAAGTCATTGAGGATATCGCCCAAGTGAATATTTGTCCAGGTAGTTGGCGATTCTGACCAGAACTTTGGTTTGGTCCACCTTTTGTAGAGGTTGAAAAGGGTGATTTGTCGTCCGTCGATGCTTATGACCAATTTCTGGTCAAATGGTCTTGGGTCCTCTGCCGTTAGAGTGGATAAATAACCGGGATCAATACCCTTTACGTGCTTTCTCGCTCCGTCCGTCATGTTGAATTAGTGTTTCTTGCCGCTGACCAAAATAATTCCCAGCATGCAACGCGCGCTTTTGTCAACAATGAAACTCGCCTATACAACTCTTTATTTAGACACTATAGAAAGTGAGTTTCAACATTAAATCATAGTACTTTCTTTTCTCTTCTCATTTGGCCTTAAAGCAGGGGTGTAGAAGTCTATGTGCTCTTATACTTATTCTGATCTCCTGTACCACTGTCACTTGGCTCTACTGTGCATGTCTCCTGCAGAAAGAGCCTCTGTCCTGGCTGCATCATGTCAGTCGATCGCACCATTACTTCTGCACCACTGAACAATTTAACATTTAAACTAACTTATAAAGACGACTGAGAAGACTGAACACAAATGCACCAAAAACAAAATCAGATTTTGCAGATTACAAACTGCAAGTCGTGAAATCTGCAGCTGAAAACGGAAATCAAGCAGCAGAAAGAAAGTTTGGAGTGAGAGAGAAACTTGTGACAGCGGGAGGATGAACCATGAAACTTTCCTGAAGTCACTGGATGGATGGACAAAGTCTGGACTTCAGTGACACCGAAACCATCCTGTCGGGATTCAGAAAGACCCGAATAATTCTAACTGGAACTGACAGCGACACAGAAGAGGAAGCGGCGCTCTGTTTACCTCCGGAGGTTGAGGAGTTGCTCAGAAGTGACACCGAGGATGAAGAATTGAATGGATTTAGTGATTTGGAGTGAGATGGAGAGTTTGTTAAACTTGTTCTGTTCTGTTGTTGATGTTATAGTTTATCTGAAGAACTGTTCATATGTGACGTTAACAGTCTGTTGTTCTCTCTTCTATTGTTTTTATTACAGCTCGACTTTACACAGGAAATGTCGGTTCCTGGTCTCTGATTTTATAAAATAAATTTCCCCCAAAAAGTGCAACTTATATATGTGTTTTTTTTTTTTCTTCTTCATTACACATTTTTTGGCTGGTGCGACTTATACTCCGGAGCGACTTATACTCCGAAAAATAAAGTAAGTTGAAATTTTAAGGCTAAATTGACCCATTTCTATGACTCAGGATTTGTGAATGTGCAGAAACTCCATCTCATTCACTTTATATTGGCCAAAGCGCTGCATGACTCACGGATACCAGGTTACCCCGAGTTTCGATCGATAGTAACGTTATTAGAAATGTCCCCATGTATTCTACACTTCTAAATGTCATCTTCACAAAACGGAAACCCCAATTACGAACAATACAAAGGTTAAAGAGCAGCATGACTCAGGGGGGGAGCCTATTCTAATCGGCCTATTCATTTGAGCTGATCGGATTAGTGCTGTTTACATGATTCTACACTGTACCGGGTTTTATGTAATGCGCATTTCTGTATCGTCCGAGCAAATGTCAGCGTGACGTTTCAGACAACAGTAACGTAATAAAGACGGGAGCGCGGCTGAGTCATGGGTCTCCCTTTTAAAGTCGTGTGGTCAACTCCCAACGATCAGGATTTGTTGTCATTTTAATGTGTTAAAAGGCAAAAAAAAAAAAAAAATTATTAACTTTTTTTTTGGCTCAAACAGACGTCATAAAGGCTGTTTAGAGGACTACACCATACTCAGCCTTATGTGACAGATAATACTCCCTACAACTGTACAACAACTCAGCCTCATGTGACAGATAATACTCCCTACAACTGTACAACAACTCAGCCTCATGTGACAGATAATACTCCCTACAACTGTACAACAACTCAGCCTTATGTCACAGATAATACTCCCTACAACTGTACAACAACTCAGCCTTATGTAACAGATAATACTCCCTACAACTGTACAACAACTCAGCCTCATGTAACAGATAATACTCCCTACAACTGTACAACAACTCAGCCTCATGTAACAGATAATACTCCCTACAACTGTACAACAACTCAGCCTCATGTAACAGATAATACTCCCTACAACTGTACAACAACTCAGCCTTATGTCACAGATAATACTCCCTACAACTGTACAACAACTCAGCCTTATGTAACAGATAATACTCCCTACAACTGTACAACAACTCAGCCTCATGTAACAGATAATACTCCCTACAACTCTACAACAACTCGGCCTTATGTGACAGATAATACTCCCTACAACTGTACAACAACTCAGCCTCATGTAACAGATAATACTCCCTACAACTGTACAACAACTCAGCCTTATGTCACAGATAATACTCCCTACAACTGTACAACAACTCAGCCTTATGTGACAGATAATACTCCCTACAACTGTACAACAACTCAGCCTGATGTAACAGATAATACTCCCTACAACTGTACAACAACTCGGCCTCATGTAACAGATAATACTCCCTACAACTGTACAAAAACTCAGCCTTATGTAACAGATAATACTCCCTACAACTGTACAACAACTCAGCCTTATGTAACAGATAATACTCCCTACAACTGTACAACAACTCAGCCTGATGTAACAGATAATCCTGGTTCCTGTCAATCATTATTTCATCGTTGCTCTTCTGTTTTCATTACGACCTCTTGTATACAGCCTGGATATATGTTTTTTCATTACTTGTATATATTATATTATATATTTACTTGTATATATTATATTTATTTTGACTTGTACATATACATTTATATATTTACGCCTTTCTCTGTGTTATTATAATATTATACTGTGATGTGCGAGCTGCTGTGTCCAAGTAATTTCCCTTGTGGATCAATAAAGTTTGTCTAAGTCTTACAGTAAAACTTAAACAACAATAAACTGTAGGTTAACATTTATAATATAATATTTCCATAAAATATCCAGTCCACATTTATATTAGTGACAGGGTCTGTTTATTCTGCTATATGTGTCCAAACAAGGTGCAAGGTGTCTTGCCTAAGGACACAACATCAGTTACACTAGAGTCACTGTTCCCAGTATTTTCCCATCTAAGCACCAGGCCCAATCATAAAGTAATATAGTAGTACTTCGAGTAATAGTCTGTCAGTATGTTTTACTTTTATGTCATAGTAGTAGTAGTAGTAAAAGTTGCTGTAGTAGGAGTCGCTGTACTGGTTGTAGCCACCAGTATGTATCAAGACTCATGTCTTGTCTTAGTAGTAGTAGTAGGAGTACTCAGTATATGTATCAGGTCTAATGTTGTATCCATGCACATTTGTCCTGAAGTAGTAGTAGTAGTAGTAGTAGTAATAGTAGTATTACTAGAAGTAGACCCAGTATATGTATCAAGTCTAGTGCCTTATCTGTGTACATTTGTATTATAGTAGTAGTAGTAGTAGTACACAGTCTATGTATCAGCTCTAGCTCAGTATCTGTGTACTGTATTGTAGTAGTAGTAATAATAGTAGCAGTAGTAGTAACAGTAGCAGTAACAGCAGTAGTCAGTACATGTAATAATAGTAGCAGTAGTAGT